CTTAAATATAAATTTAAATTAATATTCCCAATTGGAAACTTAAATGGTTGTGTTATAAAACAATATATTAGTTACCAAAAATTGATTGTACATTTATGTAAAACCATTTGGAACGAGACCCATTTGAAGGTTGGTTTTAATTGCCTTCAACCGTAGTCATATATAAAGACGATTGTATAACAACAAAGCTATTTGTTATATAAATGTAACCCTCCATAAAGATATAACTTGATTTAAGTTACAACTTGATTGTGAAGACTAAATGTTGATAGAAATAATAACAGTCACAATCACTTTGTCAAATCAAATCAAATGAAAATCTTAATCAAAATATCTTTATTTATGTAGGTCTTTTTTTTTATTTAATATTTTACGGCTCTGGATACAAGTCCTTTTTAGTCCAACATAAAATACAAAAACTTAAAAAAAAAATTACAATTTCTTCACAGTGTTGGAAATAAATTTATGGAAATAAAGTCTTGAATAGTGCAGGCCTTGTCTATTACATACTCTTAAAATATGTCAATTCTACCGTCAGTTCGGAGTGCTTTCAAATGAGTTTGTACATGTTTATAAAAATGCATATTCATTTTTAAATAATAATTAGGAAGAATAGAATGACCACTAGCATATGCCATTGCAATTCTATGAGAATAAACTGTCATCACGGATCGTGAGATCGTAGATTCTGATCGACACCAACAATTTTGTAGGAATTAAATATCTAACTCTATCAATTTTATATATAACTAGCTGTACTTGCGACTTCGTGGAATTTAACTTTATAATTTTTTTATTTAACTAAATAAAAGTAGTCTAATTACATTACTCCTTAATACATCAGCTACCTGCCAAAAAACGTCCTGTCAAAATCGGTCCAATCATTTCAGAGATTAGCCGGACAGACAAAATGATAAAAAATGTTATTTTGGTGTATGTACCGTATTTATATTCATATGCATGTAGTAAAAAACTGTTATTTCTATATTACAAACAGACACTACAATTTTACTTATATGTATAGATTTATAGATAAAATCAAGGCGAAAAGTGTCTGTTTGTCCATTTGTGTTAAAGTTACACGTGAAAACGTTTGTACCGTGCGAGGAATAGAACCCGCGAGTATGTATATTATTATGATACTAGCTGTCCCGGCAAACGTTGTTTTGCCATATAAATTAATAACGCTATGAAAAAATAGGGGTTGATAATATAAGGGTGAAAATTTAAGATTGTATGTATTTTTATATGTTGTATCATAAAAAAATAAAAACAAAAATTTTGTCTAAAAAATAAAAAAAAAATTTAGGGATGGAGTACCCCTAACATTTAGGGGGATGAAATGAGTATGAGTAATGAGTAATGAGTAATGAGTAATGAGTAGGTCTGAGAATCGGCCAACATCTATTTTTCATCCCCCTAAATGTTAGGGGTAGTCCACCACTAAATTTCATGAGAATCGGTCAAGCCGTTTCGGAGGAGTAAGGGAACGAAAACCGTGACACGTGAATTTTATATATAAGATAAGATATATAATGATTACCACTTACATTATTTGTTTCCACTTACATAAAAAACTATGGAATCAATAAATAAAACAAAAATGGACATATAGTATTATATATTGGATAACCAAAAGTAAGGATTCATTTCAATTAAATTTGTTTTAACAAGTTATTTATTCATGCTTATTTACTTTAGTTTATATAAACGAGTCTTGTTATATATTTATTTACAAATATATACAAGTAGATTATTTTAATAATAATTTAACTATCATAATTTAATCATTATATAAAACGAAAATAATTTCAGAGAAAGCACATTCAAGCAAGTTATAAACCAGAAAAAAGATTTAAATGTCAAATAAAACAGTTACTTTGCAAAAAAGCTTACTATAAAATTTAAGAATTCGTTAACGATAATAATGTTTTTATAGAAAAACTTTAAATATATAGCACTGACAATATTATCTGATTACATTAATAATGAGTGCGTAGCGACTTCTATGTTGATTATCGCATGCCTCTTACTTGTTATACTGTAATTATTTATATAAAAAAAAAAAAATCTATTAAAAAGAGCAACACACAAGTTTCTTGCTCATTCTTCTTGTGATGAATCTGCATTCCGAATGAGTGGTAGAATCAAAATATGACTATTCAAAAGTGCTTGTAATGAGTTTATTTGAATAAAGATTATTTCTATTTCTATTTCTATTCATTATCAACAAAGGCGATTTAATTTAAAAATATTCACCCACATCTATTTATAAGCGGGAATATCGCACTATTTATTTTTGAACTCGGTTAAAAGACTATAAAATGACATGTATCACGTTCAATGGAGCGAACTAGAATGAAAACTATCCAGATTTACCACACGCGTGATGGCGCAGATCGATTGCTCTGAGCAATTTCAGACGTGCTCTGTGTGAATGAATTAAATTTATGAAATGAAAATTTATAGTTAGAGCTGTTAGTGGTTACTATCCAGTCATATTCTTGGAATGGTAACAGAGTGGTAATTAATAATAAATAATAATAGCTCTGGACAATTAACACAGTGCAAATGCCACTGTGTTAATTGTCCAGGCTAAGCAGCAGTCCCTAGCTAAGCAGAGCTTGTGTTATGGGTACTAGATAAATAATATAGATACATAGATATATATTTTTGTAAATACATCTATACATATAAATAAAATTGGAGTGTCTGTTTGTAATATTGAAATAACCGTTCTTTAGTCCTTGCATATGAATATAAATACGGTACATATACCAAAATAACTTTTTTTACAAGTTTTGTCTGTCTGTTTATCTGTTTGTTCCGGCTAATCTCTGAAATGGCTGGACCGATTTTGACGGGATTTTTTTGTCAGGTAGCAAATGTAATAAGGAGTAGCTTAGACTATTTTTATTTTAGAAAAAATATTTTGAGGAATTATAAAGTGAAATTCCACACGGACGAAGTCACGGGTACAACTAGTTAATAATAATAATAGCCCTGGACAATTAACACAGTGCCATTTAGTCCCAAGCTAAGCAGAGCTTGTGTTATGGGTACTAGATAAGTAACATACACAATATATATAGAAAATACCTGTAAATATGAATATCTGTGCTCTGTGAGGCATCAAATGCGCGACCACCGAAAGGAGATGAGTTAGAAAACCGCTAGACTATCGAGGCTGTCAATTCAGTTTCTAAATAATTATCCAACTATATGGCTTTAGTAAATAACTAGCTACTTGCCTCGGCTTCGCCCGGGTGTATATGTATCATACATATAAACCTTCCTCTTAAATCTATCTGTTACAAAAACCGCTTCAAAATCGAAGTAGTCCAAAAAAAACAATAAGAGCGTACCATCAAAGAAAAGTCATGGAGTTGAAGATGCGCGAGTCAGTTAGTGTATATAATTTTAAAATACGAATAAGTACAGAAAATATAAACACTTATAACTAAACAGGTTAGCGAAAAGCAAAATCCACAATACACCCAGAGTCTTTTCTAGGCGTCATTATTCTGTCTTTGAAGAAAATTATATTTTAATGCGTCCATTACACTGCAAAGTTCGTATTCTTGATTTACATAAAATTATCTTGAAAACTACATAAAATTTTATTAAGCAGAATGTTTAGTATCTGTTGTATAAAAATATTGTCGATTAGGTATGGACTTACTCAGAAAAGGTCTAGCCGTTGGAGTGGAGTACACGGAGGTTGAAAAGGAACCGTGTATATATTTTACTACGTTGTATTTTTGATACTGTTGTTTTTGTTACGTTTTGTTTTGTTAAATATGTTTTGATTACGGGAGGATATGTTGAGAAAACTCTTTTGATATTAATATATTTAAAGGTTTTTTTCTATTCTATATTCAAAAATATAAAACAAAAATTATATCATGTCATCTTCTCTATCTACCATAACATTAAAATACAATTTTCAGTCATTAATAGTTTTATTACATATTTATACAACAGTATCGCTTAATCATTGTCCAACTATGTCATTTTTATTATGTTCGTCTTTTTGGATATCCTCTAAATATAGTTACTAATATTTATACGAGATATAAAACTCTTTTATATTTTTAATTTCGAATGCATAGCGTTCATTTGTTTTATGAATAAAAATATTAATTGAGAAATGTGAAAAAACCATCATGGCGTTTTTATTTATCTTCACAATTTAACTATGATTTATACTATTGTTAACAAAGATATATATTACTGTAACTTTATCTGACGGGATTCAAACCCATAACGAATGAATATTACCGTGTGATGACAATTACAAACTCTTATTGCATTCTCAATATAGTAAAAAAGTATATCCAAGTCGATATTATATAGGAGCATAATAGAACTGATAAATTTAGGAGGAGTAAAGCAAATATTTTGATACATTGAGACTATTATAACATAAAAAAATACACTATATTCATTATCATCTCATCACTAGGCACTGTAATTAATTATGACACTAAATAGGACAAATTGTATACCAGTATCCCAATACTCAATACTATTATTATTTTATATACCAAAATCGAATAAAAAAATGTGACGCAGTACTCTGAAATTATTTAATATATCAAATACTTTTCACCCAGATGTTTAGTAAATAAATTATAATTCTAAACATTTAATAGTTTAATAATTAATTTTAATATTAAATAAATTATTAACTCAAAAATTATTATTTAACACCCAAACGCTCACATTGTAATTATTTAAAAATTATATACTTTGTACCCAAATATTAACACGCCAATAGATTATTACTATTTTAGAAAGTGCTCAACTATTATTATTTAATCACCCAAACACTCAACCGTAATTATTTACTATTATAAAAATGGTGCACCCATAATACTTATCACACTAAATATTTAATTATTACCCAATCACTCAACGCTTTAATTAATAAACACCCAAAACATCATCAATATAATCACTAAATTTCAATTAACATCATCACTTTATCAATTATATACCTGGTAAATAATGCTGCGAAGAACCAAACCAGAGCACAAATAAGAGCTGCCCTGGTCTTCGTACACACATAGCCGGCTCTCAGTGGCTCGCAGATCGCGTAGTATCTCTCGAAGCTGATCGCCAAAATTGTTAGAACAGACGCGTGGGTGACAGTCAGCTCCACGAAAGGTACCGCCAAGCCTGCGAAAAGGAGTTGCTTTGTAATTTAACTGCTTTGATGGCCCGAGATTAGATGACACGAAAATTGGATTTACGAGTATATGCCACTTTGTCGTAGGTAGGTGGGCGGTATAAATTATTGTGTATTAGTTGTAGAAACAACGTGTCTTTGTACTGGCGCTAGACAAAAATGTGGTTACGTCATGAACTGAAATAAAAATGGGCAAGTGCGATAAGGAATTGCAAATCCATGGTTCTGTACTAATGAAATAAATATCACAATAAATAGTTTTATCAATACATGAAGCAAAATTTTTATAGGCCTTTTTACGAATATTGCGCGGACTTTGTTTGAAATTTCGCACACTTAGTTTATATAGAGAAGGAGTGCAGAATGCTAATATTTATTTATGTCAACTATTTGTTTTTGTATTGATATAACCAAATAACCTTGAAACAGCGCAGTTTGATGTGGTTTGACTTTTAAAAACTAATGTTTTTTTATATTTGTTAAGTATTTAATAGTTCATAATTTTAGACCAAAATTAATAAGTTTATTGTGAGTTGGAATATTTATTAAATTTTTAATGTTATTACTCGTTAATAAGGCAAATAAAAGATATATAAAATTTTACCGTAATTTGTACGTCAGTTCAAAGTTACATCGCCCATTCGATCCCGACCTGTCAGAAACGCACACTTTGAGCAGCCGGACTTTACTACTACCCTAGTACTAGTAATGCCATGTATGTATTATCATTCCGAAGCTCAAGGTGTGATGCCTTTGTATTCAATAATTTCACTGCCACATTTCATTCTTCAAACTGAAACACTGAAACTTTTATGCGCTATAAACGCAACTGTTTACCCGCATGATTTTGAGACAGTCCTAGGCAGATAAATTTATATAAAAAGTATAGCTCGATGAGTAGATTAACATTTCTTTATTGCGTCTAGAAAGTAAACTAAAATTGCATTACAGAATTTAAATTACAAGCAACTTTAAGAAACTACACTATATTGAACGAACTGTAATGTTTTACCAAACGCTGCAGCCGACAAACTCCCAAACAACATATTTATATATGAGCTCAAGTAAATAAAAAACTACTTTATATTCAATTTGTTTGGGTTCTATCTTGTTGTTTATCTGTGTGTGTGAAGGCTTTTAGTGGATAAGTATTTGCATTGAATTTGAAAGAATCCGCTGTACTTCATGTATGATATTTGATACGATGTGTTTACTTATATGTTTACGTGTATTTAATGCTTTAGCAACCAAGTTGAGTATATTACCGTACCTATAATAACAAACATAAAATTTAAAAACACTTGAATGTCAACCATAAAACAAATCGTTAAAGTAATTTTTGTAAAAATCTATAATTATTATAAAAGGTATTTATTAAACTTGCGATCTATATAGTTATTTCCATATACATTAAGACACTATCGCAAAAATCTATTATATTTATGTATAGAATCATTATAAAACTTTACAATAAAATCTTAAAAATCAAGATTTCTTCCAAAGGACATCAGTAATTTTCTTTACCAATCTTCTTTACGTGCCGACTTGCTAACTCAGAATGTGAGAGAAGAATAAAAATGTGACTATTTAAAAGTATTTAAACATATTTACTATGTTAATTTGTTTAAGACTTAAGGTATAATAATGCGTAGACAAAAATTTTTTTTTGTAAATAAATACATATTATACATAGAAAACACCCAGACCGATACAAACAATTATACTCATGAATACAAATGTTTGTACCGTGCGAGGAATCGAACCCACGACCATCGGATAGTAAAACGGTGTGCTAAACCACTAGACCACCGAGGCTGTCAAATTGGGTGAAATATAACAATAAATGTCAAGTAAGTGTGATATAGACGAAGTTTCACAGCTAGTCATATCTTCACATAGTATAAAAGTCACTGTCGCTGTCTGTCCGTCCCTATGTATGCTTAAATCTTTAAAACTAGGCAACAGTTTTTGAAGAAGTTTTTTTAATAGATAGAGTGATTTAAGAGGAACTTTTATATATATTATATTATACATGTACACCCGCTAGCTAGTTTGTCTAATAAAGAATCTTCTATTCTATTCTTTTGATTTTTATTAACATTTTCCAATATAATTAACTCTAAATATATACATATATACATGTACACCCGTGCGTAGCCGGGGCGAGTAGCTAGTAAAAACATAAGCAACAAATGAAAACGTGTTAAGGTAGACGAATATATCAGCCCATAATTTTTCATCTATCCGCAGCTCTGCTCTATTACTGGTGCAATATAGTTTAGAACAGTCTCATGTTCTGAATTAAATCTACTCGACCCCTCACAAGAAACGGAAATATGTACTTATTGTGTAGTGGGCGTCTTACAAATACTGATATGAAGTAGCAATATGTATTATTTTGGTCCTGAGTGGGTGTTTATGTACCCAGCCCAATCTCTGATAAATATGGCGGATATAATCCGCCATATTTATCACAATTACAATGGTGACTTACTGACCATATAACTTGTAACATATTCTAACAAATAATCTTCTTTTTGTACCTACCACTGTTCATATTAAGTCTTGACATTCAATGTAGTTTTATCTGGGTAATTTTTATATACAAAAATTACGTGTCACGTTGCATGTCTTTTTTTTTTATCAATGATAATGGAATGGTGCACCCGCCTGCGCTAACGGTTTACGCTGGCGGGACACCAGTGGAAGATGAACATGAGGTCAGGTCAGTTAGCCCATCGTGACACATTCACCAAGAATTTATCACGATGGTTTCCAGGCGGAACCTCGTGGAGGTCAACCTGACATGGTACATTGCTAGCAATGAAATCATCAATCCACATTACTAACAATCCCCTTTTCCCCCCTCACGTTGCATGTCAGCGATGGACTTCTAAACTACTGAACCGATTGCAAGTTTGATTTGCACATTGTGTGCAATTTGATCCAAATTGAAAGATAGGACATCTCAATTTATAGTCGCAATATTATTTTATTTAAGAACCTTAGCCACAGCAACGCGTGGCCGTGTCTTCTAGTAATGTATATAATTAAATAGTAAGTGTATATATATATATATATATATATATATATATATATATAAATATCCCCTTGGGCACTTTGTGGCTCAGACGTGCCGTATAGGTAGTTTTTTGTTGATCCTTTTTCACTTGTTGATCCGGAGGCCTTTTGTTGATCTAATGCCAGATGACCATATATAAATGTTGATCCGTTTTGAGCCACAACTGTCACGACGAGTAATAATAATAATTACGCGATTTATACACGATTTTATACAAATCCACCTTTTTGGCATACGAGCAGTTCTTGATCCAATTCAAACGGGCCAATCAGGGTGCAGCATTTGCCAAGGGCTTCCTCATTGGCACGTTTGGGCTACTACATTATGGCTACAGTAACTTAATAATGTCTAGCTAGTATTTCAAGAATAATAGTCTATCTAATCTAAATATTCATAGAAATCAGTCTGGAGTAACGTGACTCCAGATCAAACCTCAATACTTGTTATTTTTTGGACGGGAATTTTTCCTTTTGTAACAACGTTACTGAGCGAATGAAGAGAAGACGCAACGGCGGATCCAGGGGGGAGCGTCATGGAGGTCTTAGGAGTCATGGGGGGTCATGACTCTCCCCCCCCTTAGCCCAGGATTTAGGTAGACCACTAATTGAACTAAAAAATAATGAAACAGCAAATTTTTTTGCACGATCGGAGTGTTGGTGCAGTAGTATTAATTATAATTAAACATTGTTACTTAAAACATAACAGTTAAAGTACTATAACACTAAAAGCAAAATAGGTATTTTCAAAATACTTTTTCAAAATAAATTACCCTTTGAGTTTTTGTTCAAACCTCAGATATTATATTTATTTTAGGTATATCAATCAATACATAGTATAGCATAGTACAGTCTGTCTGTCTGTCTGTTTGTTCCGGCTAATCTCTGAAATAGCTGGACCGATTTTGACGGGACTTTTTTTGTAGCTGATGTAATAAGGAGTAACTTACGCTACTGTTATTTTAGAAAAATAAAATAAAATTTCACGCGGATGAAGTCGCTGGGGCCAGCTAGTCTATAGATATACCGAGATTTAATGTTTAAGTTGCTATTATGTTATTGACAACATTTTACTGTAATGTTACTATTACGTTATCCTACACAATTTGTATTATTTTGGATGAATAAATAAATAAATAAATAAATAATAATCTATACATCTATACATTTAATAAAAATTGGAGTGTCTGTTTGTAATATTGAAAAAACCGTTTTTTACTACATGCATATGAATATATATAAGGTACATATACCAAAATAACTATTTTTATAATTTTAGTCTGTCTGTCTGTCTGTCTGTTTGTTCCGGCTAATCTCTGAAATGGCTGGACCGATTTTGACGGTACTTTTTTTGGCAGGTAGCTGATTTATAAGGAGTAACTTAGGTTACTTTTATTTTAGAAAAATAAAGTTAAATTCCACGCGGACGAAGTCGCGGGAACACCTTGTTTTTAATAAAAACTGTTTATTTGATAAAAAAACATCTTTTTTGTGGTACTTGAGAATGTTGAAGCCTGTTGTTTGTAATATTGAAATAACCGTTTTTTACTACTTGCATATGAATATAAATACGGTACATACACCAAAATAACATATTTTACAATTTTTGTCTGTCTGTCTGTTTGTTCCGGCTAATCTCTGAAATGGCTGGACCGATTTTGACGGGACTTTTTTTGGCAGGTAGCTGATGTAATAAGGAGTAACTTAGGCTACTTTTATTTTAGAAAAATAAAGTTAAAAACCACGTGGACGAAGTCGCGGGAACAGCTAGTGTATAATATATTAGAGATACCTACGTGTTTTTTTATTGATGACTAGCTGTACACGGGATTTCGTCCGTGTTGAATTTAACTTTATTTTTCTAAAATATAAGAAGTTAAATTCCACGCGGACGAAGTCGGGTGTACAGCTA